CTAATGTTCATGAGATGTATTACAATAATCTCACATTTATTTATCAATGAAATGCAATTATATAATAGTGTTGTTAATATTCAGATAAATTAATAAGAAGAAAAAATAAATTCAATCATTTAATTTAAAAAATACATACCGATAAATTAAAACAAATAAATTAGAAAATTATTTAAATATGTGATTGATGCGCACTAGAGTATCTCATTACCAAAGTAACAACATGGAATTTAGAACTATATTTCTCAGTAATTTAAGGTTTTTATATTTATGTGACTGAATAAAACTTATATGTAAATCTATTAAGATTAAAGTTTAGATTTCATTAAGTACATTTTAGTTAGCGTTATTATGCTTTCTATTATATCATGAAATATATATGAAGAGATAAATTTAATTAGCATTGTACAAATTAACTGATACATATGGACAGATCTTATATTAGTGCAATAAACTTTAAAGAATATACAATTATATTTAAATGAAAAAATAGACCGATATATATATATATATATATATCTAGAAGAGAAAAATAGAAATAATTTACAACCTAATTTTGACCAATTTTAATAGTATAACCAATTCTGAGAGAAAATATTTCAGTTCATCTTAAAAAATAACAATTTAACCGCTTATAACTATGCTGTGTCAATTTAAACATACAATAAAACTATGAAGTATAATAAATAATCAAGTGGTTAATATTATTTCTAATATACATATTTATCTACCAAAATTTTTCTAAATGTTCATTAGAAAAAAGTTCAGAAGAAATAAGTGAGAATTAAAATAAAAACAAAAAATACTTACAAAAATAATGAATGTGTATAATTTGGTGTTGACAATTTATAGGAGATAAATAATTGATAAAAAAAAAAGAACTCAATGAACCAAGATATGTAGACTAATTTTCGAATTCGAGCAACAGCATAGACTAAACAATGTGGTAGATAGACAATTAAGACGTCGAGGTCTGAGGGCGAAGTCGTACAGCTGACGGTAGAGAGGTGTGACAGCAGTAAGGTATTTCCCTCGGACAACCGGCATCTACAGCGATGCTGCCTTCTCACAAGGAAGGAAGGGTTAGAAAATATCGACCCTAAAAATGTCACACCTCAACCTACCTCACGGAATCCCGCTTCCGGTGGTAAGGGTGCCCACCAAGGGCTTTTAAGAGCGGAGCTAATACCCAAAAAACCTTTCATGAAAAGGCCGTGCGTAACCGACCTGAAGCGGTTGTCCCTTGGACTCTGCGGTCACGCTCCCAGGGCTCTAAGACCAACACTAATCTATCTTCCTTTTCACGTTCCTTAAGAAACAGCTTTCCAAGTTGTGGGCAACCGAGAATCAACTTCCGCCCTCATACCCATAAAAGCACACGAGACCGAATCCTTTCTACACCTCTTCATAACTCTCTTACCTCCTCGACCAACACTTCTTTCGATCGTTTATCACATCACACCACTGAAGCAAACGGTTCGAGCTCACAAAACATTATTCCTGGTCTTCTGAAACCCCGTACTAAATTACATAAAAAGACTTTTAATGTTCGGACCCTATGCCGAATAGGGCAATAGGTTTCACTAGATAGAACTCTGGAATCCCGGGCGATCGATGTATGTTTCGTCTCCGAAACGCGCATACATGATCAAGTAAAATCATCAGTTTGATCTCACCTAGCACAGATAGAGAAACAACAACGTTTACGCTACGCGTTTTTGGAAGCCCTGATCCCGCTTCTCGTGGCCTCGCCGGCGTGAGTAAATTACCAAGTCTTAGGGCAGAACTAGCTCTCTTAGACTGGATCCCGATAGAGTTGTTTATGCACTGTCCAATTAAACGGGACGGTACGGACTCGGAAGGATAGGAACACTCGCGGTTGCCTCTTCGTCAGATCTGCCTACGCTCCCACTGACTACAGTTCAGACGACATGCCAGATAAATTTTACAGAAACCTCTCTAAACTTCTCCAAAATGTTAAGCGCTCTGATATAATAATAATGGCTGGTGACTTCAATACTCAAGTAAACTGAGTGAACAGGAAAGACATCAGGGTGGATCTTATGGTGTCATGACTAATAGAACAGATAATGGCGACCGTCTGCTGCAGCTGTGCTCAGATAACCGCCTATTCCTTGCAAAAACCCAACTCTAAGCATTAGGTAAAACACCTTTTGACCTGGGGACCCCCAAAGCCGACCCAACTAGATCACATCGCTATAAGCCATCGGTGGAGAGGCTCTGCTGAAGACTGCCACTCAATCTAAAGCACGTGTTTAGACTCAGACCATGCTGTAGTGCGAGCGCGTATTTCTTTGCACCTTATTGAAAGCAAGTAAAATATTGCTAAGAAACCTCTTAGGGCTCTACTTAATGATAATAAATCTAAGAATATATTTCAGGAACAACTAGAAAGAGAGTTAGGCGACCGTGTAAGTGATCCTAATCCGGAGACAGCTCCGGACGATATCCAAAAAGCTATGGAAACAGCAGTGATATCTGCTAGTAAGATAAACCATATTGGCTAGAAAGATGCCGTGGATTTCAGTAGCATCTACCAAACTGATGGACGCCCGAAAACTCACCCCGTCTGGCTCTGAGTACGATGAGGAACGGAGTCAGCTTAAGTGCGTGCTGATGAAAAGCCTTCGCAATGATCGAGAACAGTGGTGGCTAGCGAAAGCAAGGGAGATGAAAAAGACAAAGGCGATAGACAACAGTAGGAAACTATTCAGACTCATCAAGGAAACCAGTATTAGGAACCCAAATGTGAGTGAAACTATCTCGGAAAAGGATGGTCATATTGTTCGTTCTCAATCCAGGAGATTGGATCGATGGGCAGAACACTTTAGGGATCAGTTCAATTGCTCTTCAGCCACATTTCGGCTACCCACGATCTCCAGTCATCCTGAATGGCGAATAGATGTAAGTTGTTCGACTGTTTATGAAGTTGAGAAAGCGATAGGAAATCTGAAGGGATAGAGAGCAGCAGGACCGGATAGGCTAACTCCTGAGATTGTTAAGGATGATGGTCCAGATTTAGCAGCTAGATTGACTGAAATCTTAGGTAGGTCTCAATTCATGATTGTCCGAATTTATAAGGAAGGACAAAAGTCTTCTTGTGACAATCACAGAGGAATAAGTCTAACTAATATAGTTTCTAAATTGTTAGCCTCCATTATACTTAGACGCCTAACTTGTTCTCGTGAAGCGCAAACTAGAGAAAACCACGCTGGTTTTCGACCTGGACGTGGCTGTATAGACCACATCTTCACACTCAGACAGGTCCTGGAACACAGACACACATTTAGGCGTCCTACAATAGTTGTCTTCCTAGACCTCAAGACGGCATTCGACTCTGTGGATCGTGAGGTTTTGTGGCAGTGTCTGTCATTGAAAGGTGTACCAAAGAAGTACATTAACCTTATACAAGCTCTCTACTCGAACACCACTAGTCAAGTGAGAGCTTATGGCGAACTGTCAACGGAATTCTTTACTTCAAGTGGTGTCCGTCAGGGATGTTCACTCCCCCCATTCTTGTTTTTGTCATAGACATACTGCCAGATATGACATTATCTTCGTCCGACTTTTCAGGAGTAGACCTGCTACCAGGTGGCTCGCTTATTGACTTAGACTATGCCGATGACATTGTCCTACTTGGTGAAGAAGCTGACAAAATGTAGAGTCTTCTGACTACCCTAAGCAACAATGCAAGCATGTTCGGGATGCGGTTTTCCCCCTCGAAATGCAAAATGTTGCTTCAAGACTGGGTCGCATCGGCACCTGAACTAGTGATAGGGAGTGAAGTAGTCGAACGTGTAGACTGCTTCACTTATCTTGGGAGTCTCATCAGTGCCGATGGCCTGGTGACTGACGAAATCTCAGCTCGGATACAGAAGGCTCGATTGGCTTTTGCCAACCTGCGTCACTTATGGTGAAGGCGAGATGTTCGTTCGCTGACTAAAGGATGAGTGTATTGTGCTGTGTTTCGCACCGTTCTACTATATGGATACGAAACATGGGCAGTAAGAGTAGACGATATTCGTAGATTACTGGTTTTCGATCATAGGTGTCTCCGAAGCATTGCTCGAGTATCGTGGGATAGCTAAGTGAGCGATGCTGTTGTTAGGAAACGGGTGCTAGGTAAGCATGGGAGATCAACATACGAAGTGATGGAGCTTCATCAGCTGAGGTGGTTGGGACATGTGTTACGTATGCCTAACCACCGACTGCCTTGACGAGCTATGTTTTGTGGTGTAGGAGTAGGTTGGACAAAAGCTAGGGGCGGCCAGACCAAAACATGGCACAAATCCATGAAGTCATTGACGAGTGGACTTAGCCATGTCGGTAATTGTCGACTACCTGGTTGGGGTCCGCGAGATGATAATAATCGATGGTTAGAGACCCTGAAATACATGGCTCAAAACCGTTTGCAGTGGCGCATGTGCATTCATTCATTGTGTTCTATGAAATTCTAACCTGAATTCTTCATCACCTCTATCTTTCTCTTTCCAAATTTACTCCATTGAATTATACTTCCTGAATAACATCTTCGAACCCTAATCTCTCCGATTACTTCTAATACTTAAACTTCCTCTACTACTATAAGATTTGAACTGACAGTTACGTCTCTGTGTTAATGTAGTATGGCAACTTGAACTGCTGTACTTATGTGCCAAGTTGTACGTTGCTGTTGATGATGAAGACATCGAAGGTAAATGGATCTTGATATTTTCATGATATATATCGGTTAAAAGATGAGTATCTAAATAAAGTAGGATTTTTGTACACATACAAATTTCATTTATGGTAACATATATTTAAATGAGGTATTTTCTCCATTTTTACAGCTATTTTGGGAAAAAATTGATATTTTAATAACGTACAGGTACAACTGTTAACTACGTGACTCAATCTCTAACTACAACACAGTGAACATATTTTAAAATATGTTGTAATTTAATGAACGAAATAAAAGCTAATCTAGCATATATTTCAGCTACTATATAAAATATTATCAGTAGCAAAATTTAATATTTCATCAAAACTGATGGTAACAGTATTATCAACAACATTATATTTGATCAAACCTCAACACCTGTACCTGTTACAAGCCACAGTAAAAACAGCGTTGAAAATGAACAAAAAACAACACTAGCTTTTGTGAACTTTTATTTAATAGTCAACAATCAACCAGCCATGGTTGATAATTAAGTTATAATATTGATGGAAATTTCATGATAAACACATTTAAACTTTATTACATTGATATCAATAATAAGGCTAAAAGTAATGTTAAATAATCACTACCCATTCCATTGGAAAAAAAATAGGAAATCACAGTATTTAGCAATACAATAAAAATTGTGAATCAATATACTGACACTAGAACACATTTATCGTATACATGTGCTTGTGAAAGATTACAGATTAAGACTGAGATTTAAGGGTATATATATATATATATATATATATATATATATATATATATATATATGTATATATATATTAGCCAATAAAAGAAACGAAACAATTTCAAGTCATAAACACACAAATAAACTATGCACTATTGCTAAACATTTAAAGAGTCAACATTCATCTGAGATTATGTAACCAGTATGTATATATATTATATATACAAGAGTGAGACAAACGCTAAACAATCCATAAATTATATAAAAATTCTGACTCTAAATTTACATGTGCAAAAAAATAGAGAAGAGATCACACAAACTAATTAATTAAATTGAGAATGAGCAAATTTAAGGGAATGATGTGCAAGGAAACAACAATACAAACACATACCAGACGGATTTAAATTAAGACAAATATAGAAAGAAACCAATCAGACTAATAATGTTAGTAAGAGGTAGATATATATATATAAACTGTGAGCGGAAGCAATGCTAATGTGATGGTATGGAGAAACCACGCCCAGTATAGAGCTACATCAAAATAAAAAGTCTGCATCCAAAACAAATGATACCTTATCAGAAAAGAATGGTTAAGCAACTCTCTGTGTAGAAAGTGACCTTTTGAAACTATCAAACTGCACCTGTCGAATGGTCAACAAAATCACGACCACCAGTAGTCCAACGACGTGATAATGCTCCCTGTGAATGCTGGTAAGTTTCACTACAATGATCAGGTATATTACTTTGACAGACAGTAGGAATTCCAGTGATAAGACTATGCTGAAGTTGTTGTTCAGTTTGTTGCTGTAACTGTTGTTGTTGTAACTGGAAAAACATTAAATTATGGTAGGCTGCAGCGGCTGCATGAGCAGCTGACAATTGATGATTAGATTGCACTACATGTTGATCATCTCGTGTAATGGGTAGTTGGGGATTTTTACGTACACTTCTACGATTAGATAGATGTTCGGTTGGTTTTTGAGTGTTATATGGAAATATATCATTAGTGAAATGATGACATATTTTTTGAGGAATAGAATTATTAGTGTTATTCACCGACTGTTGATGAAAAGGTGATGTGAATACAAATAAACTAGGATTTGACCCCCAGACAACAGATTCCCGACTAGGTGGTATATAATTGACAGGTGATGATACAGGTCGACTGGAGGAATGTAAGTGACTGGAATCTTCTTGTTTTATCATAGGCTGAACACGACCAACTGGTACTAAAATTAAAAGTGATTGCAAGAATAAACAATTAAATATACTAGATTAAAACTTTAAAACATTAAATTTTTATCTAATGATTTGCAAGTAGAATTTGTTAGGCAGAAAACAGCCACTTTGTGTATGTAAAATTCAAACATATATGTCTGTCTTAGCTTCTATGTTATTTAAATTTATATCCGTTTGAATTAGCTGAAGTATCAAATTTAACCAATTCGTAACTAAAAAATTAATATATTGCGTAAATAGCAATGATTATGACACAACACTTTTTCAGACATTAAGTAGAGCTTGACAAGTAATATTATCTGTCACACATCTATTGGTCCTAAATTGTACCTCAGTATCTTCAATCAGTTAGTTAGTTGTACTGTAGAACTTGGTGCGTATGTACATCACTTTAAGTTGCCATACTACATTAGAACAGGGACATGAAATTATCAGACCGAATAGCATAGTAATCGAGATGTTAGTAGTATCAGTGATGATAGAAAAAATAATGGATTCTGGACAATATTTCAACAGATATAAATTAGTAAATTAAAAAATACATGAGGAAAATCACAAGCTCAGAATTCGTGAGGGGACCAAAAATGGATGAACCTGAGCCCCTGCAAACGATTTTTAGCCATAGGATTCAGAGTCTCTAGCTGCTAGTTATGACTATCACGCGGATTACAACCAGACAGTCTGCACCTATTAACATGACTCAAACCAACAAGCGAATCATCTGGTAAAAGTCCAACTCCTGAAAAGTCAGATGATAATATTATCCTGAGAAGCGTGTCTATGACAAAATTCAATAAAGATGAGGAAAACGGCCAACCCCAATGAACACCAATTGAAGTAATCACCAAAAGCTCCGACTCGACCAGTTTTGTTCAATTAGAAAGCTTGTACAAGGTTAATGTACTTCTCTTCCACGCTTTAGATTCCCTATGAGTTTTTAAACCTCATTAGTGGTCGGCGGCCCTACATCAACTTGCCATTCAAGTCAAGTGGAGATGGTGGGTAACCAAAGTGTGGCTAGAGGTCAGTTGAACTGCTCCCATAAGTCTTCTGCCCATCGATCCAATCTCCTGGATTGAGAGTGACGATAGTCTCATGTGTCACTAATCAATGGTTACGGTTAACGAGTGGATCCCACAAACAAGGTCCGATTCAAAAACCAGTGACTGATGCCATGTCCAGATTTAGCTACTCTAAGTTTTTTTCAATCCTTTAAATTAGACATTTCATGTCGAGAGAAGCGATGATCAAAGCATCTAAACATGTGACCTGAACGCTCCAGTTGGAGGTTTAAAGAGAAAGGAAATAACACGGGGTTTAAAAACAATCAGAAAACTGCATTTTGTCGATGTTTACATTGAACCAAACATGCTTTATGTCAATATGTCATTTTTTAGATAATTAAGTGATATTAGAAAGATAGATGCGGAAAATTTACATTATAAGGGGATATCTATCACAAAAATAGGCGAGAATGAGTAGGATGAGTTCGGATAAATAACTTCCAGGTTCATGTATTTCTCGGTATACCGTACAGAGGAAAACACTGCCACAGAACTACTTAGTTAACACAGTCGAATAAAGCCCTCAATTCAAAGAATATCACAATGAATTATCAGTGTGTGCATCTGTCAACATATCCAAAGGTTAAGAAATGGCCTATTTATATTTTGCGATGATGGAAAAAATTTGTAGCTCAGGTGGATGATTTTGGTGGAGTTTCGTTCTCTGAGCTCGATGTTTTGGTTGTGGAGCTTTCGTTGTTCTTCTGAACAGAACAACATTATCAGAACTAGCTTCAGATAGAAGTGAAATGTTCGAATTTTTTCACGTTTGACCCGCAGTTGATTCTCTTAACCTCGATCTTGATTGGTTGTTATTGACCTTAAACCTGTCGTCGTCTGCACCTTTATTTTGATTGCATCCCCCCTTGATCTGCTTCTTGATTCATGTTTGCCTTTGATTTTTCTGATTGGTTCATAAATTGGGTCAATGTCGACATGCTTATTGATTGCTAATTGACCTGAGTGCCAAGCTTTTAAAAAATTCTCTGGTGTTCTTTGTGCTCCTCCTATCCAGCAGTTTAACATGGTTTCAATCGAACGTTGTCCATAGTTGTCCGCATGTAGTGATATGAGGGAAGAAACGTCGTAACGTTTGACTGTTAATTGATATTGTTACTGTTAATTGATGCTCACGTAAACGCAGCTGAAGAGGACGTCCACTTTGTCCTATGCAGTTTTTCACAGTCTGAGCGGTTTCGTTTTTCTTTCTCTGTCATTTTGCCCTTTGGTCTACATAGGATTGACTGAAGTGATTCTGTTGCTTTGTGTGCTATACCTATTCCAAATGGTCTCAGTAGTCGTGCCGAAAGTTCTGATATGTCTTGTATGCATGGCAGAATGATTCGTTTATTGGTTTCTGCAGGTGATTTCGCTTCTGTTAACGATTTCAGTTGGTGTCTTTTGATGAAGTAGCATGGATAGCCGTTGGTGGTCATTAGATATTTTTTCGTATTTTGAGCTGCGATGTGTTTTCACTCTCTTGAACAACGTTTGTACGAAGTTGATTTTGTGAGTTCTTGGATTATTGCTGTTGTAATTGAGAATTAGGTCTTTGTCGGTTTGCTTTCGAAATATCTTGGTCCCCAGTTTCTCTGTGTCATTTCTGGTAATTGGTACATCCAGGAATGATGTCTGATTCCTTTTCCATCGTGAATTTTATGTCATCAAAGACGTCGTTGATTTGATTGTAGATGTTCTCCAGCTCGTTCCCTTTAATAATGCCGAATGTGTCGTCTACATAGAGAACTCACATTTTTGGCTTGATCACTGGTAAAACCGACGCTTCTAGTCTCTGCATCACAGCTTCCGCGATGAGTCCTGATATTAGTAATCCAAATGATGTTCTTTTTGTTTGTTTGTAGATTCTGCTGTTGAATTGGAAACACGTAGTCAAGCATAAATCGATGAGTTCTAGGAAACTTTGACTCTGAAGTTTCGTATATTTTCGGAGATTTGTGTCGCTGGTGAGGGAGTAGGGATAGAGCTTCTTTAACTAAGCTTGGCTCTATTGAGGTGAATAAGGCTGGTACGTCGAAGCATACCATCATTACGTCGTAGGAAAGCCGAGGAACTACTTGAACACAGGAGCGTAATTAAACCAATGTACACAAACCCAATAAAAAAGTGAGACAGCTGAATTTCAAGTACTCTAAACAAGCTTGTCAAAGCAGGACAAATAGCAAAACAAGATCAGTGGAGAAGGAAATCCAATAGACTAGTATGAAAGCTTCCGTCCTCAAATAGTTCCTCGGCCTTCCTACGACGTAATGATGATATCCTTCGATATCTGAAGCTTGTGTTGATGATGTTGTTCAGAAGAACAATGAAAGCTACACAACCTAAACATCCAGCTCAGAGAACGGAACTCCACCACAGTCTATATACCATCAGTATGGAGTATGTGATCTTCGTTATCTCAAGTTCAGTATTCCCCAGCTTTATTTAGAGTATTTTAAACTGCGGGAGCTGATATTTTACACAACCAAATTTAAAGTTATCATAGAATTGAGTGGATTATGACTACATTTTTTCTTAAAAATAACTTATCAGCAGCCAAGTTTTTATTAAATATTTCATTGGTGACTCTAAATAAGTTACCATGTGATTATTACGGCGACCGCTGTTCCGTTTCCCACCATCACTCACGACTACTAAGTAAACGTTTTGTTAGTTTATGTTTAAACTTAGATTTAAATAATTGCTCAAACCATTTCTCCACTTATTTGTCCATATCGAAAATATAAAAATCAAAAACAAAACCCATATCTACACTAACAATATGGTGACTGGAAGAAGTAAACAGTGCATTGTAACGCTACATGTGTTCACATCTGGAAACTAAATACAACCTACTTTTTTTATCAGAACGCTGCTGACACATCAAATCGAAAGTTGACTTGTACACCCTAAAAGATGTTAAAAGACAGATTGGAAGAATTAATACAATTTTAAACTGAATAAATTGAAAAAATTATTTACTCGTAACAATAACTAATTGATAGTATATGTGAAGCGATGATTAGACAACCTAAGCAAACATCATTCAACTTTATTATTCAGAAGCTACTCACCTCTGCTTTGCAGTTACAAACAACAGTATTCTTAATTCACACAACAGTCGTAGTTTAAAAAACATTATACAAAACTGCGAACTAGCAACTGAATTATTCCTGAAAAAAATGCACGCAACAACTAAGCTTAACTGGAGAGACATGAGTGACGATGAGTTTATTGCTGTTTCGAACTACTAAAAAACCAAACAAGTTATGTTTTGCTGGTTGAGAAAGATCAGGATGCAATGTGTCTTAATTAAACGGTTACGTCTCTCAGCTATGATTCAAATATTTCAATATAACGATTAAACTTTCTTTCCTAGCTCTAGCAACTCTGTAAGATATGTTCCCGACCGAAGCTGCTACTTTGACGTGGTGGTCGGGCTTGCCTATTGTGATGACCCGATCGAGCTATATTGGCTGGAACATATGTTCCTGAAGGTTCTACCATACCAGGCAGGTCGATTGGAGAACGATGAGACTAAAACCAGCTACCCAAGGTCTGAGGGCGAAGTCGTACTGCTGACGGTAGAGAGGTGTGACAGCAGTAAGGTGTTTCCCTCGGACAACCAGCATCTACAGCGATGCTGCCTTCTCACAAGGAAGGAAGTGTTAGAAAATATCGACCCTAAAAATGTCACACCTCAACCTACCTCACGGAATCCCATCTCCGGTGTTAAGGGTGCCCACCAAGGGCTTTCAAGAGCGGAGCTAATACTCAAAAAACCTTTCATGAAAAGGCCGTGCGTGACCGGCCTCAAGCAGTTGTCCCTTGGGATCTGCGGTCACGCACCCAGGTCTCTAAGACCAACACTAATCTATCTTCCTTTTCAGATTCCTCAAGAAACAACCTTCCACGTTGTGGGCAACCGAGAATCAACTTCCGCCCTCATACCCATAAAAGCACGCGAGACCGAATTGGTCGAAATCAAATCCTTCCTACACCCCGTAATATCTGTCTTATCTCCACGACTAACTCTTCTCACATTCCTTTATCACACTGCACAGCTAATGCAAACGATGCGAGTTCACGAAACGTCATTTCTGGTCTCCTGAAACCCCGTTCTAAAACAGAAAATTTCCAATCTAAAAAGTTCACCGACTAATAAGAAAACAACAATAACTATATGAAGGTTAATTAGTTTCATAAATCTGCCTAAATATACGATACACTAAATATTTAAACTAACCCCGAAGATCCGCAATCTGATTTGATTGCATTAGGATTCGATATTGTTTCTGAAGGACAGCTGAAAGAATCATGCTGAATTAAACCATGAGAAATCCTATCTACATTCTCAGAATTAGGATTAACAGCGACAGACTGACGCTTCATGCGACTGGAATTGTACGAAGAACCTAGTAAGATGCAAAAAAAAGAAACATCAATGCGATAAAACGCTACTCCATAAAATTCTCCAACAGAAGAATCACATAAATATCGCTAAACAGGAATACAGTAGATGTATAAACTACAGACGGTGGAAGTTATGAAGAAACCAACAGCAAACAAATAGGTAGAATGTGTTGAATAATAACCACTCAAAGATTTTCACAGTAAATAATCTGATGAAAATTCGGAGGATACATTTAGTTTATTAGGAATAAAGTATATCACATTATTTCACATAAATATGTCCGATACGTATCTGAGCATATATCAATTAAACAGTTGTGACTTTACAATTATCTTAAAATTTATGTACCATTCACATACAGGATAATATATTCAATGCAAATAAATTAGAAAAGTTATCCACACATGGTAATTGAAAAGTGAAAAAACATCAGCAGTAAAGTGAAGTCACTCAGTAAGAAAGTAACTTCCTCAATCTTCATTAGATGATTTTTTGTCGGATTAACCGACTGGTTAAACCACAGAATTTTAAGAAGCAGTGAAAAAATAAATGTACGCCATGTACAAACAACTGAACAGAATCTACTAAGGACACCCATTTTTTAATTTTTGATAACAAAATGACATTGAAACATACTTGGAGGAAGCATTGACAAATTGACAGCATTATTTACAACTGGCTCTGAACTATTTGTTACTAAATTAATAGGCATGCAATCTGAATCGTTCACAAAAGGATTGTTTGGTTGAATGTGGGCAACTGAATTTTTACGGATTTCACTACAGTCGATTATGACAGGTTGTTGATCGTGATAATGAAAAGAAGCAGAGTCCTGATGTGAGAGATATTGTTGAGTGATTGGTCCATGAACTTGATATATTGGAGCACGCTTAAAAACACACATTTAATAAAAGTGATGAGATTGACGTAAATTTAAGAGAAAACACATTACAGTTTAAAGCAACTAATCACAGATATTAGAAATAAATTCACAGAAAAATGTTGTTAGACACGTAATAGATATTAACACTAAGAAATTAAATACTTGGTAAGAAACAATGAAACTGTTACGGTTATGAGGGCGGATGCCACATCCCGGCTGCCCACACACTGGAAGGATGCTTCTTGAGGGATCAAAACAAGGGGTTATATTAGTGTTGGACTCAGAGACCATCCTAATAACAATGCAAGCAAGTTCGGGATGCGGTTTTCCCCATCGAAATGCAAAAGGTTGCTTAAAGATTGGGTTGCGTCGGCACCTGAACTAGTGATAGGGAGTGAAGTAATAAAGCGTGTCGACTGCTTCACTTATCTAGGGAGTCTCATCAGTGCTGATGAAATCTCAGAAAGCTCGATTGGCTTTTGCCAACTTGCGTCACCTATGGCGTAGCCTAGATATCCATCTGCTAACTAAATGACAAGTGCACTCCGTCCTACATTATGGTTGCATTCTATTATATGTGTCTTCGAAGCATTGCTCGTGTATCCTGGGACAGCCGAGTAAGCTATGCTGTTGTTAGGAAATAAGTACTATGTAGGGATGGCAAATCAATAAATAAAGTATTGAAACTCCATCAGTTGAGGTGTTTGGAACATTATTGCGTATGCCTAACAACGAACTACCTCAACGAACGACGTTTTGTGATGTTGGAGTACGCTGGAAGAAACCTAGGGGTGGCCAAACCAAAATGTGGCACAAATCCATGAAGTCACTGACAACTGGACTACGTCATATTGGTAACTGTAAACTATCTACTTGGGATCCGCGAGACAATAGTAACCGATGGTTAGAGACCTTGAGTGATATGGCTCACAATCGTTTGCAATGGTACAGATGAATCCACTCTTTGTGTTCGCTCAAATTGCAATCTTCTGAATTCCTCATCGCCTCTATCTTTCTCTTTTTAAATTCAATTCACTGAATTATACTTCTTGAATAATTTCTTGGAACCCTAATCTTCTCTATTACCGCTAATGCTTTTACTATCTATACCACTATGGGATTTGAACTGACAATTGCGTTTCTGTGCTCATGTGGTATGGTAACCTGAACTTATGTACGTACGTACGAAGTTCTACGTTACTGTTGATTGATTGAGTAACTGAAACAATCAAACTATAGAATACTTGATGCCATATCTTAACATTAATAATATAATGTTGTTCCCGAATATCAGCAATTCCCCGGATACAATAATAACAAAACAGTCGCTCAACATCCTCAGCTCTGAGGCCAGATTTCACAAGTATAGAGCAGAACAACTCTTCTCGAGGCGTTGTAGATCGAAGCTTGAGTATTAACGCACAATACGACAATATCATCCACATACTACTCAAGGTCCGAAATTTATCCGGGAAACAGATACATACTACCACTACTTAAATCCATCAGAGCCGTCCCTGGAACGTCATCAGTAGGAAAATTGAAGATGAATGATAAAATCCAGCAACTTGATCTAATCCCTATCTGAATAGGACGATGGATGAATGTATACAAAACCTTTAAGACCCCAGACAGCTTTTTAAGACGTACTGGAGGCAACCTGATATCAAGAGACACAACCAATGTTAGTCTGCAATAAGTATGGTAGTTTTCTCACACTCAGTGGAGGGTAATTTGACCAATACATCCGCAGCCAGAACGAAAAACAACATGTTCTTCGCGAGTCAACCTCTACCGGGTTTTGATCAATCTGCGGTTAATGACAGGAGTCAACAGCTTAGACACAATCGGAAGTCAACCTACCCTCCGTTAGTGACGAAAAGTATGAGCTAAATATCCCCTTCGTTTTTTAATGTATTATTTTACTAGAACAACAGAAATCATGGGTGATATCCGTTCAAAGGTTTGTTTGACTTGTTTGAGTGGTTGCTACTCTATTATTGTCATAGGATAAGCCAACACTTATTCAGTTAGTACATTCGACAGGAACGACCACATTTTATTATATATAGTAACAAATACTGCTGAGTATGTTGTTAATGTATTTTGAGTTTTCCCTTTAGCAGAATTTACCTAGTTCATTTTAGAGTGAAACGTGTTTGTGTATAGTTGGTGGATTATGAAGTTAAATTGTTGTCACCTGGGTTGGATAAAGTAGCAATACTATGCGAATATTACTCTTGTCTGGTAGTGTTTAGCTACAAAAGAGACCACTCAACCAATTAACTAGACATATTGTACGCGGTACTGGATAAATTCAAATTAGTGACTTGATAAATTATCACACAGCTTGAAATTTGTATCGTTACCTAACTTACATGAAACTCAGCCTAACTTTTGAAGGGCACATAAATAAGTGATAAAATCTTAATATCAAACTTAATAAGGTTCAGATTTTAGAAGTTAATAAACTAACTTGTCAACCATATTGCGAACTATAAACAGCGTTTACTTACAAACAGCTATATGAAATGTCACAAACCAGATACGTTCAACTTCTCGTTGGCAATATTTGACCTCATCCCTTGAAGAAAATACTCACTTGTTAACCATAACTTATAAATTGGTACAAACAAAGCTGATTTAGAAAGTTCTAAAACCATCTAATATTAAATTTTTCGAGGAAACAGATCTACATTTATTTACTTCACAATAAAACAGGTATAAATACATAAACTAACAGATACCTAGAATCACCCCCAAAAAGCTTATAATGAATAATTAATACAAAACACACAATGAAGCTTACAGAACAATTAAGGTCTGGTTGAACTATCGCATTGGTTCTCGAATCGATCAATTGACCTTTCATTAAATGTGACTGACAAGCTCCACGACACTCATTACATCTGGAAATATCGTTAACAAAATCGGATTCACTGTTGTGGGTGGACTTAAATAAAGTAGGGGGATGTTTTTGATTGTTGTTGAAATTTTGCTGATGATGAGCTACAGCCAAGGCGGCGGCAGCAGTTGCAGGATATTGATACAAGTGTTGCTGATTTACCAATGCACATAGAGTATCACATAAACCAGTATTTGGTTTATATGTTACATCAATGCACTCTTGACGAGCAGTGTAAGCCCCACTACTTTTCTCCCGCCTTACAATATCCAACATAAATGAATTATCACTTTCAGATAACCTATTGAGTTCAGGTTGAATATAAACAGAGTGGAGAGGGTGATGTAACATTTGTCGGATATGGTTTGTTTGTGAAGTGTTTGTGGGGACAGAATTCAATGGCTGCATTTTGGGGACTGGAATGGAGCTACTAATCAAAAAAGGTGATGGTGCAGGTGCGGTGACAGCATTTAGTAAGGATAATGCACTACCAGCGCCACCAGCAGTCACCAAGTCGTAGAATGAAAGGGAACGTTGCATTGGAGCAGCATATGTCGTTGGTAAATGATTTGTAGTTATCTGACTCGGTTTCATACAAACTTCCGATTTGTTTTGGGAAATAATTATAGTTGCAGGAGTACATTCGATGACAGGGCACATCTTCCCAGATCCCGTGGCAGGGAGAGACACATGATTAGCTTCATTGATAGCATTCAGTGAAGAATAATGGTTTAAGCATGGAAAGCTTGATGAACCATTATTAGGAATGGGAATGATCTGTGAAGTTGATTTCGCTGAAAACGCGGCAGCGGCCGCAGCTGCCGCGGCATAATACGCAGCTCTGGCATCGGCTCGACAATTAGATGGATGATTAGCTTGATGACAAGGTTGGCTATTAACTTGTGGAGACAATGTAGTACGACTGTCAATAACATTTGAAGTAACATAATGAAGGGTCTCTGGAAGAGTGGTAACAACTTTTTGTGGTAATGACATACACTTCGGATTAAAATTAAAATCAGTTGTATGCTGTCTACGTGCGCCACCATGACAAACTTGCATCAGTGTGAGAGATTCTTGGGTTCTAAAAGATAAAATTTAAGAAGATAGATTAAGATAGAAAGATAGGATAAAACACATTGATCAATAAGACTGAGTTGTCAAGATCTCTATAATTCGGTTCTTTTTGCTGGATCTTATAATCAAATGTACAGTTAAGACCAGTTTCATCTACCCCATTATAAATAACAAATGTGATTTACCGGAGTCTACTAGGCACGTCAATATGAACTAGATTTTGGGTCTTCGATAAGTAGATTTGTCATGTAATGTTGAGACTCAAGAAATTTGTAGTAAATATGATTTAGTAGTAAAACCTATCAGACAAGAATATTAATTTATTAATCCAACATGAATGTTTGTAGACGAAACATTGAGAACTTAACTGTTGCTCATTTACAAACTAACAAACAGCATGAAAGCATATTTTGCGAATTATTCACGTTAATATAAATAAATAACCTAACACAGAAGTGATTCGGCCAAATTGACAGGCCTGGGAAAAACAAAATAATAAATAGATAAAGCTATTACGACACCACCTACCATACGAGGCAGGCCGACTAGAAAAGTCAGTTACTCAATCAATCAACAGTAACGTAGAACTTCGTACGTACGTACATAAGTTCAGGTTACCATACCACATGAGCACAGAAACGCAATTGTCAGTTCAAATCCCATAGTGGTATAGATAGTAAAAGCATTAGCGGTAATAGAGAAGATTAGGGTTCCAAGAAATTATTCAAGAAGTATAATTCAGTGAATTGAATTTAAAAAGAGAAAGATAGAGGCGATGAGGAATTCAGAAGATTGCAATTTGAGCGAACACAAAGAGTGGATTCATCTGTACCATTGCAAACGATTGTGAGCCATATCACTCAAGGTCTCTAACCATCGGTTACTATTGTCTCGCGGATCCCAAGTAGATAGTTTACAGTTACCAATATGACGTAGTCCAGTTGTCAGTGACTTCATGGATTTGTGCCACATTTTGGTTTGGCCACCCCTAGGTTTCTTCCAGCGTACTCCAACATCACAAAACGTCGTTCGTTGAGGTAGTTCGTTGTTAGGCATACGCAATAATGTTCCAAACACCTCAACTGATGGAGTTTCAATACTTTATTTATTGATTTGCCATCCCTACATAGTACTTATTTCCTAACAACAGCATAGCTTACTCGGCTGTCCCAGGATACACGAGCGATGCTTCAGTCAAGTAAATCCACAACATAAAACTTCGTACGTACGTACGATCGCCGCTCAACCTGAATGGCAAATCGACATAAGTCGTCCGACTCTATGAAGTTGAGGAAGCTATAGGAAAGCAGTAGCAAGGGAGGGCAGCGGGTCCTAATAGACTGACGCGTGAGATTTTTAAGGATGGTGGTCCAGTTTTAGCAGTAAGAGTAATTGAGATCTTAGGTAGAATTCGAGTTCTTAATAACTCTGTTATCTCCACGACTAACTCTTCTCTCATTCCTTTGCCACTTCGCGCTGATGATGCAAACGATTTTAGTTCACGAAACGTTATTCCTGGTTTCTTGAAACCACGCTTTTAATGTCCCGACCTTCTGCCAAATAGGACAACAGGCTTCCTTCGTTAGGACTCTAGAATCTAGCGCCATCGATGGATGCCGCGTCTCCAAAACGCGCATACGGCATCCGAGTAGCGTCAATCATTTGGCTTTACCATGTCAAAATAAAGAACCAAATTGGTTTACACACCGTGTATCTGGAAGCCACACTACTGCTTTTCGTGGCCACGCTGGTGTAGGTATAGCATTAAATCCTAAGGCAGAACTAGCTCTCTTGGACAGGATCCTAGTAGATAGTCGATTGTGCGCTGTCCGAACAAACAGAACAGAAAGGACTCGGAAAGATAGGGACACTTTGTTGCCCCTTTGTTGTCACTGGCTACGCTCCCACTGACTGAAGCCCGCACAAAAGCTATCGGACCTCGTTCATAAAGTTAGACACTTAGATGTAGTAATAGTGGCCGGTGACTTTAATGCTCAAGCAGGTAGACTAAGTGAAAGGGAAAGACACCTGGGTGGATCTTATGGTGTCGCGACTAATAGAACAGATAATGGCGACCGTCTGCTGCAGCTATGCTCAGATAACCGCCTATTTCCAGCAAACACCAACTTTAAACATAAAGGAAAGCATCTCTTGACATGGATAGCCCCAACGTCGTCACAACGCTGGACCCAACTAGATCACATTGCTAACAGCCACAGAAGGAGTGGTGGTAGGCTGGAAGAAACCTAGGGGTGGCCAAACCAAAATGTGGCACAAATCCATGAAGTCACTGACAACTGGACTACGTCATGTTGGTAACTGTAGACTATCTACTTGGGATCCGCGAGACAATAGTAACCGATGGTTAGAGACCTTGAGTGATATGGCTCACAATCGTTTGCAATGACACAGATGAATCCACTCTTTGTGTTCGCTCAAATTGTAATCTCCTGAATACTTCTCGAGCGATATCTTCGATCACTAATCGTTTTGATTACCGCTAGTACTTCTGCTATCTATAATACTGAGATCGAAATTTACAATTCCATCTCTGTGTTAATGTGGTAATGGCAACTTGAACTGATACACATACGTAGGAAGTTCTATGTTATAGCTGACTGACATAATAGCAAGATTTTGATCTCGCTTGTTCCTAAAATATTCCATAAATTTTGTTGGTTTCGATTTCGCTAAAGATATGTGCATGTGAGAAAGATGACCTAAATTACAGGTTGTTTATTAACTGGACTGACATCATGTGTGAAAGAGGAAGCTAAAGTTTTGAACGCGACGATTCCTCAAAAAAGTAAATGATACGAAAGGGTGGTTAAGAAAGTATGTAACTATTTTTGCCGATGCTAATGGTACAAATCGATTAACTTGCATATAACCTAAAAAATAGCTTACGTTTTTATTTTAATGCTGAAGAGATTTAAACAATAATGTTAAAATATGATACAATTTAATAGTAAGAAGTATTACCGTCACAACAAAATGAAGATAAACTTACCGTTTAGCGAAAGGTTGGCAGTGGAGGTGAGTCATAGTTACGAACGAATGCTGAAGGGCAATATCAGGTGTTATTCTATCACACGGACGCATTTTTAACATCTCCGTTAAAAGATAAGTAAACTGCTGACGATCAACGATATCGAGATCAGATCCATCAGATGTGGAATGCCCGTTTACATCACGGATTTGATTCAAAGAGTTGAAGAAATATTTCCTAGCTTCTTTAGCTTGCTGACCAGTTTCAGAAGCATACTCCTCTGGAGTTTTTAAGCGCCAATCACAGCGATAATGATCACGTACAAAAAATGTGTTGCATTTCCCAGCATTTTTTAACATATCAGATGGAGGTAGACCTTGAGTTTCTACTATGTATCTCATCTAAATTCGAAAACGTTTAAGTAAATCGGAGAATTTAACAGTGATATCATACTATTATACAAGCATTTCATCTGCCATTGTAAAGCGTATAAAGGGATTGACACTAACTCAACGGTTGAGTCTTGCCAACTAAAGATCACCAACCGAAAACTAGTATGCATTAACATACCGCCAAGTGAGTAATGCTGAGGTCAGGCATAGGGTGCTAGTTAGATATGGCAAATAAGTTGGCGAGGTAGTAAATCTTTATCAACGAAGGTAGTTAGTATACGTATTACTCATGCCCATCTACCAGTTACCTTAACGAGGATTTTCGCCTGGTTTAGAAGATTGGGAGAAAGGGGTGGCTAAACTAAAATGTGGTACCAGTTCATAGTCAGTGACTGAATGAGAAACTTAAGTAAGTGCAGACTATCTAGTTCGTCTCTGTGTAATTACTGGAACCAGGAGTTAGAGTTTTGGGTGATTTGACTCAAAATAGTTCACAACAGCGTAGATGTATTCACTGGGTTGTCCCTTAATTACAGAATCCTGAAATCTCCTTTTTTCCTTCTATACTTGGATCTTTGTTCTATTACTAATTATTTCGATAATACTTCTAATAATCTTGATAACTATCTAGCTGTTTTGATGTAGAATGACAAGTAAAACATGTCCACATGTACCGGATTCTGACTGACATAATTCTTATAACTCAAGTTTTCAGAAAGTATATAATGAACATAATGCTAATCGGTAGATGAACGCGATGATATGATGTCGGCGAATGGTGGCTGAAGACCATACTAGTAACTTAGGTCCCCGAATTATGAAACCACTAACCAGATTAATGACTTTCCGCGTTATAAAAAAGCACGTTTGAATGGAGTATGAACGCGATGATCATAAAATATCAGACCATTGGAGGAAATTGGCTGATAAGTCACTCATTTTCCAATCAACTAAGACCTATCTGTTTAACCTAATCTTTGGACATCGTATCAGTGACCACCCTGTACGAGTAAATGCTTGTGTATGAATAGTACAGAAATGTAAATTATAACAGAACATTTAAAACATAATTTAGATTCAGTATTACGATTAATCCAGAAAATACGGAGTTTCCGGACTAGTGTTACTTTTCAACGGCATATATTATATTTATTTTTATCAATATGTAGTCACGGCACCCTAATCTTTTTGATTACTGCTCATACTACGACTACCTCTACTACTATGGGATTTGAACAGGCGATTGCGTCTCTGTGCTAATGTGCCATGGCAACTTGAACTGATGCACGTAAATACGGAGTCCTGCGCTGCTGCTAACAGAGCACATGGAATGAGGAAATTTTATTACCTCAACATTGAAGTTAGGTGGCACAAATTAACATTAGTTTGATATGAAAATTTCACAGCTAAATAGACATACACTTTTTTGATATCAAAGAACTTGTTTAACGATAGAATGAATAACTTTCGAAGCCGGAAATACACAGTGATTTGGCAACTAAGCGTAGACTAGTAAGTGGCATACTGCAGTTTGAGGAAAACGCCGACAAAACACTCCAAGTAACAAACGTAGTAACCATTAATATTTGGATACTCGGCGTCACTGGCTCAAAACAGTATGAAAACATATACTTGATAAATAAGCTAAGCTACTCATATTTCCGCACTCCGTGAGTAAAATTGCATATTGCCCTACAATCCCAGAATTTCAACCTTCCTACTATCTTTCCATGAACAAAGGCTAAGTATTGACCAGCTGATAAAGTGCCCAGGATGCTCATTAGTAGGGTTGGTAATTGGGGACTCGTTTATGACGGCATTTATTTCGTTTTCAGCACTTAAATATGGGGTCACCAAACGAACAAGTAACTTATGTCGAAACCACGTAACTAAGCATATTCTTATGTATCATAGTACCTAACTTATCCACTAGATATTTGTTTATGTACAGTATTTTGAACCACAGATCAAGCGAAAACTAGTAATAGTACACAGGCACCTTAACCGGGGCCTCCACCAAAACCTAGGATTTCTGATTCAAAGCCTTAATCACTACGCCACTACTCCACATAAAAGAATAACCCCGGAATACTTTCAGACCTTAAGAATACACATATAGGAGTGATATGGAATGTTCGATATTCACTATACCACGTATTTAGTCAATCTAAATAACGACAAATGTTTGAAGTGCTGTTTAACATATAATCAACTATTTTTACAACTTATAAGCATGACAGGTTACTTACAAATAATAGGCGAACTAGTACTCAGACAAAAGATGAACACACTTAAACGAAACAAAATCGAGCTTAGAACTTACTTGGTCATATTCAGACGATCCAGGATATAAAGGCCATCCAAGGAAAAGCTCAGCTAAAACACACCCCAATGACCACATATCAATTGCCTCATCAAAAGGCAAACCCAGCAAAATCTCGGGAGCACGATAGTAACGTGACTGGAGGTAAGTGTTTTGAACAGCTTTGGAACTATGGCATGCAGATCCAAAATCAATTACTTTGACTCTGTAACGCATGTTTTCCGAATTAGGATTTACTAACATTATATTTTCCGGCTTTAAATCAGCATGAATTAAACCAAGGGTCTTTAATTTAGAAAGCGCCGTGAGAACCTGCTGAGAAATAGGGCGGATCTCCGGAAGCGTCAACGGACGAAACTTATTTGACTTTAGATACTCGTACAAGTTTTGATCTAATAACTCAAACACAAAACACATGTGGTTTCTATGTTGAAAGCACTCGATTGCCCTGACAATATTATGAGACTCTGTATCCTGTTGAGCTAGGGTTTGCAAAATCTGAATCTCTATATTACCTTGCCTTAAATAGGAGGGTAGATTCTTTAATATCTTGATGGCTACATAGCGACTCGATGATCGACAGCGACACTTAACAACCTGGCCGAATGTTCCTCGTCCAAGAAATGAGAGAACTTCATAGGCCTCGCTACCAGAATTGAGCATTTCGCCAACAACTATGGCGTAGTCGCCTTCCGTTGTAGTTAACTTCGAATTTGCTTTTGTGGTTCCGTTCGTCAGCGTATTATTACTAGAAAACTGCATAGCACTGCTTGAACAGATATCAGTTATCGGGGCATTTATCGCAGGGATATCAGTTGCGTTGTATGTACATGCCTGATGTTGTAAAAATGAACCAACATGTGCTCCTAAGTGACCGCTGGGCGAAGAAGGTATGTGCAAACGGTGTAATCTTGGAGCAGATGAGCCATCGTGAATCTGTAAATTTGCGTCATCTGCTTTCCTCTTTTTATGGATAATATGGATTCCATTGCGAACAGGATACAAACCATTTTCATCTTTTGGTCGATCAAACTGTTTTTGAATATTAACAAGCTCCGAATATCTGGGAAATCCAGAGTATTTGGCAAGCTTTAACTTATTTTCTTTGAAGACATGCCCTTCTGTATAAACAGTCTGCAGATCCATATATCATCAATGGTAGATAATTAACGAATAAATCCAAGACATCAACAAAACCGACTCCAAAGCCGCCCGCCACTGAATGCTTGGCTTCAAGTGACTAAAACAAACGAGACTCATAACATGGGAAAGTACTACATACAACAATCCATACATCATGTTGTCTGAAAAGATCACGAATAAGGGTATTTTCAAGCATCTCGTCTTTCTACTTCATTACAGAAACTACTGCAAAGTAGAAGATTCACTTTACAGATTTGTGGTTCACTGGTTAACGGAGGGAAGTCTTTGTAAGTTCTTCGTTAGAAAACTTCTTGGCATGTCTAATATCCTCTTAAACTGATCAAGTGAATGATAATACACCGCCTTAATATTTGTGAACAAAAATGATTTCTTTGTACATTATTCTTCTGCTAATTGTAATAACAAATATTTTAAACTGTTCACAGAGTTCTCTCTGGTCAATACATGAAAACCAGAATGCGAATTGAACAGTTTCGGGTATTACTAAATCTTATACGGAATTCAGTTTGTAGTGGTTTACTTTTACGAAGAAAACAATTGCTGAAATATAAACATTTATTATTGTACTTAATTCTGACAATAATTGTTATATTGTACACCACTTGTTCATCTATACTAAAGATTATCTCTTGCGTGCCAAGCATTTTATTCCCATTTTCCTCTTCGCACGTCTCCTGCGTCGACGTTAGCCGTTTGTACGCCCTCCTGCCTCGATATTATTTCGATATCACGAGGCCAGTATCAAATATACTTCTTCCTCTAGAATCTACTTCTTATTTGATTCTCTAAGTTCGTGGATTAACATTTGTTATCCTGCGAGGAAGTATATCTTACGAATAGCTATAAGTTTAGTCTAATCATCGCATTAGCATTGGGATGGGGCAGGCTATTTGTTACGGGAGAAACGAAGACATTTTGCTGATCAAAACCTTCATGTATAAATATCATTAATTTCACTGTTTTTGGGTACATTTGTTTTACTTAACTTGTGAACTTGTTTGAATTATTATTTGCGGACATATTGGACTCCCGTTTCTCTTTGTTGTTCGTTGCAGTTTTTTGCTCCAAGAGATAATAAATTAGAAGGTAATTGTAATTATTATAATTAATGTTGTTAGAACGACATTGGTCGTCTATTTGTAATAAATTATTTTGGTCGAATTGGTGATTTGGAATAAACTTTGGTATCTACTTTGGAGTTTCGTTCTTGGTATGGAAATTTGGGACCGTGAATTACAAATAGACGACAACAGTGCTTCATAAGATCAACGAGCAAAAAACTGGACGTAACAAAAGTTCTTCTAATTTAAATTTGTCATAAACTGGATTTTTGGTCGTTTTGCTCCAGAGGTTCTTCAATTCAAATTTTGGTCGCTGGAAACTTTTGGAAATTTGGGTCCAAAGGTTCTTCTAACTTTAATTTGGTCGTTGGATCCTTTGGACAATTCAATTTTGGTTCTTTGGTTATATTTGGATACTTTTGGACATTTGGCTATTATTGGCGAATACGTTTGGAATAATTTCACATTTGCTTGGTAATCGAATTCGAATAAAACATACAATGGAAACTAGAAGCAAAAAGCTGAAGGAGCAGGACGAAATGGATGGTAAATTTTCTAAAGCTGTTTGTGGTATGTCTGATGTTAATGATGATAAACTTGATGATATTAGTGTTAATAGTAAGTCTTCCTCTCAGTTTAGTACTTCTAGATTGAAGTTAGATAAGGCATTAATTAGGAAGAAGAATTTGGAAAAGAGACTTGAGTTAGAAAAGCAGCTTAAAATGTTAGAGCTTCAAGAGGAAGTAGATATGGCTGAATTAGAATGTAAGCTCATAGAAAACGATAACCAACTGTCAGTAGACAAAGCTGAGATAAATTCTAAGGTCGAAAGGTATTTGGATTGTGATATTGAGCGTAATAAGGTAATTAACGCCTCAAAATGCGGTTGTATTGATGAATTAAAGGACACGTTACGTGCTACGGTTAATAATACAGTTTTGCCTAAAATCGATATGATGTTTTTTGACGGACAACCTAGCCAGTACCACCGTTTTATTAGTCAGTTTACAAGCATTATAGAGAGTAAACTGTCTGACAAGGGCCAGTTGTTGTCATATTTGTCATACTATTGTAAGGGAAAAGCAAAAAATGCGATTGAAGGCTGTATTATTATGGATCCACAAGCAGGATATAAGAGAGCTAAGGCCATTTTAAAACAGCTCTTTGGACAGTCGCATGTAATAGCCCGAGAAACCTTAGAGGATTTATTTAGAACTGGGAATCAAGGACCTGATATCTAAGGTACAGGTACATAGTTAGTTTGATAGGTTATATCCATGTTGGAGGGCGGGTAGGCGTACTGCTGTAAGTCCTACTCGTTCTTCCGGTGTGGATTAGGGGATGAGAGTGAACCCTAAATTGAAGTGTTAGAAAGGGCTTGTTTTGCTTAGAGGGATATTGTGGGCCGGTGTAGAATTTATATTGAATGTTTGTTGTTGATTGCTTGTGATGCACATACTTGGATTGTTGTTATTTATTTTTGTCGGTGAAAAGAACCAAGGTTCTTTTGGTCGGGAGTGTTACGGGAGAAACGAAGACATTTTGCTGATCAAAACCTTCATGTATAAATATCATTAATTTCACTGTTTTTGGGTACATTTGTTTTACTTAACTTGTGAACTTGTTTGAATTATTATTTGCGGACATATTGGACTCCCGTTTCTCTTTGTTGTTCGTTGCAGTTTTTTGCTCCAAGAGATAATAAATTAGAAGGTAATTGTAATTATTATAATTAATGTTGTTAGAACGACATTGGTCGTCTATTTGTAATAAATTATTTTGGTCGAATTGGTGATTTGGAATAAACTTTGGTATCTACTTTGGAGTTTCGTTCTTGGTATGGAAATTTGGGACCGTGAATTACAAATAGACGACAACAGTGCTTCATAAGATCAACGAGCAAAAAACTGGACGTAACAAAAGTTCTTCTAATTTAAATTTGTCATAAACTGGATTTTTGGTCGTTTTGCTCCAGAGGTTCTTCAATTCAAATTTTGGTCGCTGGAAACTTTTGGAAATTTGGGTCCAAAGGTTCTTCTAACTTTAATTTGGTCGTTGGATCCTTTGGACAATTCAATTTTGGTTCTTTGGTTATATTTGGATACTTTTGGACATTTGGCTATTATTGGCGAATACGTTTGGAATAATTTCACATTTGCTTGGTAATCGAATTCGAATAAAACATACAATGGAAACTAGAAGCAAAAAGCTGAAGGAGCAGGACGAAATGGATGGTAAATTTTCTAAAGCTGTTTGTGGTATGTCTGATGTTAATGATGATAAACTTGATGATATTAGTGTTAATAGTAAGTCTTCCTCTCAGTTTAGTACTTCTAGATTGAAGTTAGATAAGGCATTAATTAGGAAGAAGAATTTGGAAAAGAGACTTGAGTTAGAAAAGCAGCTTAAAATGTTAGAGCTTCAAGAGGAAGTAGATATGGCTGAATTAGAATGTAAGCTCATAGAAAACGATAACCAACTGTCAGTAGACAAAGCTGAGATAAATTCTAAGGTCGAAAGGTATTTGGATTGTGATATTGAGCGTAGTAAGGTAATTAACGCCTCAAAATGCGGTTGTATTGATGAATTAAAGGACACGTTACGTGCTACGGTTAATAATACAGTTTTGCCTAAAATCGATATGATGTTTTTTGACGGACAACCTAGCCAGTACCACCGTTTTATTAGTCAGTTTACAAGCATTATAGAGAGTAAACTGTCTGACAAGGGCCAGTTGTTGTCATATTTGTCATACTATTGTAAGGGAAAAGCAAAAAATGCGATTGAAGGCTGTATTATTATGGATCCACAAGCAGGATATAAGAGAGCTAAGGCCATTTTAAAACAGCTCTTTGGACAGTCGCATGTAATAGCCCGAGAAACCTTAGAGGATTTATTTAGAACTGGGAATCAAGGACCTGATATCTAAGGTACAGGTACATAGTTAGTTTGATAGGTTATATCCATGTTGGAGGGCGGGTAGGCGTACTGCTGTAAGTCCTACTCGTTCTTCCGGTGTGGATTAGGGGATGAGAGTGAACCCTAAATTGAAGTGTTAGAAAGGGCTTGTTTTGCTTAGAGGGATATTGTGGGCCGGTGTAGAATTTATATTGAATGTTTGTTGTTGATTGCTTGTGATGCACATACTTGGATTGTTGTTATTTATTTTTGTCGGTGAAAAGAACCAAGGTTCTTTTGGTCGGGAGTGTTACGGGAGAAACGAAGACATTTTGCTGATCAAAACCTTCATGTATAAATATCATTAACTTCACTGTTTTTGGGTACATTTGTTTTACTTAACTTGTGAACTTGTTTGAATTATTATTTGCGGACATATTGGACTCCCGTTTCTCTTTGTTGTTCGTTGCAGTTTTTTGCTCCAAGAGATAATAAATTAGAAGGTAATTGTAATTATTATAATTAATGTTGTTAGAACGACATTGGTCGTCTATTTGTAATAAATTATTTTGGTCGAATTGGTGATTTGGAATAAACTTTGGTATCTACTTTGGAGTTTCGTTCTTGGTATAGAAATTTGGGACCGTGAATTACAAATAGACGACAACAGTGCTTCATAAGATCAACGAGCAAAAAACTGGACGTAACAAAAGTTCTTCTAATTTAAATTTGTCATAAACTGGATTTTTGGTCGTTTTGCTCCAGAGGTTCTTCAATTCAAATTTTGGTCGCTGGAAACTTTTGGAAATTTGGGTCCAAAGGTTCTTCTAACTTTAATTTGGTCGTTGGATCCTTTGGACAATTCAATTTTGGTTCTTTGGTTATATTTGGATACTTTTGGACATTTGGCTATTATTGGCGAATACGTTTGGAATAATTTCACATTTGCTTGGTAATCGAATTCGAATAAAACATACAATGGAAACTAGAAGCAAAAAGCTGAAGGAGCAGGACGAAATGGATGGTAAATTTTCTAAAGCTGTTTGTGGTATGTCTGATGTTAATGATGATAAACTTGATGATATTAGTGTTA